CTTACCAACCGGTCGCAAGACAAGCACCCCTAAGACCAGCGCCGCCCAAACTAGGCACTTTGTTTAGCTCGCTCCTTCGTTCTTGCGTTGCCGGTTTATCCTTACCAGCTTCTTTTCCTTTCCACGCCGCTCGTTTTCATTTCAACGCTCGTCAACAACCTTGCGCTTTCACTTTGTGTTCCTTCCCTCTCCGTGCGAACGTGTCCCCCACCCACTTCCCCGGCGCGTGCCACAAAACCAAACTTGCCTCCCTCCCTCTTTCCTCAAAAGAGAACAGCGCTTTCCCTCAAATAAGTAATTTACTCCCCCCAGCTCTCGACCCCTTCTTACTCTTTTCTGTTTTCTTTCTGTCTCAAAGAGGTCGAAAATTTCCCTAAAGCACCTCGCATCTGAACAACACAAAGCCACACGAGATCCATTTGTATTTTCAACTTCGTTTTTCTCTCAGGTTTCCCTGTCTCGCATTCTCTTCTCATTTTCGTCCCCTTGTCGCTGCACAGTGATAATCTGGAAACGCACTGAGCGTGTCGCGCCGCAGATAAAAAGAGGAACTTCCCAAAACAGGACAAGACTTCCCACCAGGCTCGATTCAGGCTGGGCCAGAGTTCTGCGACGGCAAGCATATTACAGCACGGGCAAGCCCTTCAGCAGCCCAAAGCCAGATTGAGCATAGACCCGTCACAACGGCTCTAACCAACATCTCTCCACTGCAACTACATCTCCAGTGTTGATCTTTTCCTCCTGTTTTGCCTCTTTTCTTCCCTTTTTAACCTTTTTTTTTGCTTCCCGTTTCGTGATACATCGCGCGCGGCTTGTGACGCTTCCTTCATTGTCTGCTTCTCGCTTTTCTTCCTTCCTATCCCTTTTTAATCCTGACCTACCTCCCCACGAGTCGACCCCCTCCTTCGTTTGCACTTGCTTTTCTCCTCGACTGCTATACGCGCCGACGCAAAGCTCTCTGTTCGCTTTCCCCCCTTATTCTCTTCGAATTCTTAATTGCTTCGCCATAATGGCCGACATCGTGGATCAGCACGACCAGGCTACGCCTACCGACCTCGAGGAGTCCCAGTCTGTTGGTAACGGCAATGCTGGAGCCGAGAGCCGTGGCACCAAACGCCCCCGCCCCAGCGCAGTTGACGACGACGACGACGATGATGAGAAAGGCGGCCGCGAGCGTCGCAAGATCGAGATCAAGTTCATCAGTGATAAGTCTCGTCGTCACATCACATTCTCGAAGCGGAAGGCTGGTATTATGAAGAAGGTATGTGTGTCTGCGCGCCTAGCGTCCTCCTTCCTCTTTGAGTCCGAGTTTGCTTCTTTCTGGCTTCGTGGTCCCTGGCGTTCGCTCTGGAGGTCCTCTTTCCCGTCCTTGCCCTGCTACTCTTTTGCTAACTATAGTTGCTTTCTTTCTAGGCTTACGAACTTTCTGTCCTCACCGGCACCCAAGTCCTGTTGCTTGTTGTGTCAGAAACCGGCCTCGTGTACACTTTCACCACACCGAAGTTGCAACCTCTCGTCACTAAGGCTGAGGGGAAGAACCTCATTCAGGTGAGTCAACACATCTGCTCGAAAAGACTATCAGCTGGACAGACAAGGCCGACGCAGGTGGAACAAGCCACCGGCTGTATATAATCGTGCTTTGTTCACCTGCATGCTATGCCGAGTCTTGCGGCCAGCCTCATAACAAATGTTCCTTTTTCCATGCTGACAAAGTTATCTACAGGCCTGCCTCAACGCCCCCGAACCCACGACCGCCGGCGATAACGGCGTTGACGAGCCCAACCAGGTCGACAGCCCTGAGGAGTCTGGCTCCGGCCACCTCGCGTCACAGCAGAACCGTGGTCTACCCCAGAGCGCACATATGGCCCCCGGATATATGCCGAACGTGTCTATGGACCCGAACCAGGCCCTGGCATATGGCAACTACGTTCAGCGCAACAACCAGTACGCTTTGCCGCAGCATTCGGCCCACCAATCATAAGCGGGTCATACAGACGACACGGTGCCGTTGTTTAACATCTTTGGCTTCTCAACTTTCTCTTGGCTGTTGAGTCGCTACGACCGCTGCGTGGTGCGTGTAGCGGGCCTCGCTCCATTGAGGCCCTGATTGATGTTTGTCACCAGAACATCATTTCAATATTACACCTTACTTTGTCGTCGCCCTCCTGTCCTCCATGGACCTTTGTTCTGCTGCGCCGATACCCAGCATATAATGCATTTTCCCTTTCCTGATTTGCGAGGCCCTTGGTGGTGGTTCGGCGTTTTCTCAGCTGTTATTGCATTTTTCACTCATTGCTTTTATCTTTTACCTTTTACCTCCTGTCAATTATTTCCATCCGCGACAGGGATTACTTTATTGACTTGACTTTAATCAAAGTTTCTTTGTGTTTCATTTCGGTGTTGTTGCTGTTACGGTTGTGGTTTCTATCCTTTTGCATCGTTCTTTTTCTCTCGCCTTCGTGCATAGCACGGTAGGGAAAGAGGCCGGTCTATTTACCTTTGCAGCACCTTGTTTTCTGTACGTTCGCTACAGCTCTGTCGTCTGCTTTATGATCCCTTGCTCTACCCCCCCGTGCCGGCGTGCACCATGTATTCTGCCCTCCAAAAAGATACTCAGTTTTCGAAATGCAATACCGTTTAGGAGAAAATGGAAGCCAGACGCAAATGATTCTCGTGCTCATCCTAACCAACCGTAGTTGCTGAATCAACGTTTATGAAACGTATTCTATCGTATATCATTCGATGCTTACTTTTCGTTGCACATCGTGAGGAGCACGCGTCACGGCATTTCGCTGTCATTAAGCCGAGTAGAGCTTCGCCATCCGGTCTTCCTGCCAGGCTGGTTTATGGCCTCTCGAGCGATGCTTATGCGTTTATCGCGCACCACTCTGTTGTTATGAAAGGCCACAATGACCCCATGGCGATTAAACTGATGCCAGGTGAAGCACTGTCACAGGGATGGGGTATTATGTCTTCCATAGGAGTCATGATAGTATCAGCATTAATTGCTGCTGCACAATAGTAGCATCATCCTAAGATACAAGATCCTATGACGATCTCGTCTGTGGCGATGACTTTGATGCTTAGAAGTTGTCCCTTCCAGTATCTGCCTTCATTACTACTTTGCTCGCTTAACAGGACTCAATGTTCCACCAACCTCGGTATGGGGTAGGAAGTTATGCAGTGGGAAAGTAGATGCTGAGACGGGCTGTCAACAGTAGTCGTGCGGGTAATCATGACTCTGGTGATCTGTTTCTGGAAAAGAGGATGAAAATGGTCTAAAAATGACGAATAAAGCGACTCTTAGACGTTCTTCGTCACTTTGCTTTTGTCATTGACATTTCAAGGTTTCGATGGCAGTCGTTTGTTTGTCGAGCAAGTGAATTACTGCTTTTAGACGTGTAAGTTGGAGAAAATTACCCAAACAAGACAGGCCTTCCTCATCCGGAAGGTCGCTCGTTTTAACAAGTGGTCTCCATTTCTTGTAAGGCCATTTAATCCTGTTCCCGAGGCCTTGTCTGCTATAATATGCCCCTTGCGTATTTCCGGGAAACAAATCAGATCTCTAATGTTTTGCTTTGATGACGGACGGCCGCAGGTCGTCCCCTGTTCCGGGGTGTTGGCTCGCGTCTTTTCTTTTTCGATGGTCGGGGCCAGAACCCCAGCCCAGGTTGGTGAGGACACTCCGTAGTTGGGCGTCACCTCGCTCTTTGCCCTGCAGAGGCTAGACCCAACGATTGATCCTGCCATCGGCCCCGTCCACATCGATACCAAAGTTGGTTAACGAATGCAGTCGCGTTTTTGTGTCGAAAATGGAAAAGGCCAGCTAAACTGGAATGAGCATAACCAGAGTCCATGCGGACAGGAAGCAACCTCCGCTAGCCGTCATGGGCAAGTCGTCTTTCTCTCGGGCACATCCGTTCGGCAAAGTCGCCTTATTTTTGGGCTACGGCGCGGTTGATGTTTTCGGTGTGGCCTGGATTGGAAACGTGGCTGTCGGGTTCCAAGGCTTTATTGACGCCGGAGCCTCTGCGAATAAAGAGGAGGATCACCCGGCATAGCTACACTCAGCGCGAGTTGGTTCTACCTCAAGTACCACCTGAAACGGCAACTGCAAGCTCGAGGGAGACAAATGTACGGTTTCGTAACAAACAGGTCAAGGAAAGTGACTGTCGATAATGATACCGAGTTATTCACTTCGATTTCATACAATAACCCCACTCGACTTTTTGCAAAGGGCGCCCTAAATCATAGGAGACGAGACTCACAAATATTGGCAATCATGCATTCCTGACCGGTTCTTGCTTCTCTGCTTGATTGTTGATAACTTACATTGTGATATTTTCGTTTTGCCCTGCATTTTGAAAGATGTCGTCACGGGTGCCACCAGGCCCAATCTCAACAGACACCTGTACCAAAGTCCGACGAGGGTTGCATGCAGCTCCCCCCAGTAGCTGGTTCCAGGGACTCCGTAGTGGTTGCTGTTGCGCATGGGTTGAGCACATTTGCGCGCATTTCTGCACGGCACAGAAGCAGACTTGTCACTAGCGCCACCACCCTGCGGCACAAAAACGGATGGTGCAAGTACCTGTATGTTCGAGATCCGTTAAGAGCATCAACGTGCGTGAGGAGAATTGATTGTTTGAGTATACTCTGTCGATACCGTAGCAAAGGATATAATAACTAGCAAACCAAAATAAAGGTAAATAAAGAAACGCCTCATATCCCTTAAACGCCGGCCGTCTTATATAACTCCATTCGTAACATTCGTTTATTTGTCCTGAGATCATCTTGGACGCAGGAGATGCAAACCACCGAATCGCAGAGGATCGGGCCTGGCGATGTCTCGACAACTTGTGCTAGTTTGTTGCGCAAACGGTTGCCTGCATCGACGTCACTCGATGCTTTGGTGACGCAGCGACTCCTCAGGGGTCTCTCGGGACGGCCTTTGTGACATGTCGTTTTGTGTCCCAGTGCGGCTTCGTATCGGTTGTGACCGTTTAGTGCTCCATGAGCACAATGTAGCGGCCGACCAGCAGGCTGCCCAGGAACGTGCCGCCGAGCACCGACATGAAGTAGCCCACGTTCATGGACATGACTGCAACCATCAGCAGGTAACCGACGCCGGCCAGCAGCGTGTCGAGGAGGGCGCGCAGCGGGTCGACCGACAGGCGCCAGGGCCGCACATGGGTGTGGCGCTTCTTGAGGACCATGACGTCCTCCTCGATGCCGTTCTCGGACAGGATCATGCGCTTGGCGTCCGAGTCCCGGGAGATTTGCTGCGAGAGCACAGGCTTGCCGGGGACGACAACGTAGCGGCGCTCGAGCTCGGCGTCGAGCCAGCGGGACTCCGCGCGGGCCTTGAAGGCGAGCAGACCGCGGAAGAGCGCGGCGAGCATAATCAAAAAGATACAGGTGCCGGCGTAGGAGCCGACGGAGCTCGGGGTCCAGGTAAGTGAGTAGAGAGGAGTGTTGGTGGCTGTGAAAAAGACGGACATCATAGTCGTCATCGTGGTGTTGGAGCTGCCCGAGCCCGAGCCGCCCATGTCCATGCCCATCATCTTGGCGGTTGGCTTGTGGAGGAAGTTGTTGGGAGTTGGAAAAGAGAAGAGAGAGGACGGGCGACGATTATACAGAACAAGAAGCGATGCCTTTTTAAAGGAGCCTGGGCTGTGGTTGCTGGTGACGAAAAGAGAGTTGACGGGGATCTAGCTTGGTGTGAAGATAAGAATAAGACTGCGCTCGCGCGTTCTAGAACCGAAAAGAGCGTCGTATGGTTTGCTTCCGCTGCAGGTGCAATATGCTCTCGTAAAAAGTAGAAGTTGAGTAGAGTGGGTTTGGCGACAGATAAAGTGAATCCGTTTAGGCTACGCGAAGCAAGCGTCCTTGGCGATTCGTGACTGTGGTGGAAGGAGCGACCGAGGGGACGGGTCGGCGACAACGAAGCGACAGGGCAAGGCAACGAGAAGTACAAGCAAACAGTGGAACACAAAGATCACGAAGTCAAAACGTGGCGAGAATAAAAGAACAACACGATGGGATGCCAAAAAACCTGGGACGGGAGTCTATTTGAAGGGGGCTTCCAGCCTTTTGCTGTTGCTGGCCGCCGCTTTGTCCCACGCTGCGGGCAAAGTGAGCAAGTTTACGGAGCACAAACCAACGCCAGCGCCAAAACCTGACGGTTGTTAGAGAGCGCTCTTCCCGGCAAACGAGAAGGGCGGGGTGGGATCCTTCCAAAAGCGGCAAAAAAACGTGCTCATACTTCTACGTGGGACTGTTTCCTAGTTCAACGCCAGGCTGTGAATTATCGACAGACCGCCCACTGTGGTTCTTTCCCTGCGTCTAGCTGTGGATTCCAGTCCCCTCTTGCCTTACTTCGACACTTGATGTGCAGTTGCTTTTAATGGATCTTGGGACGTAAGATACAGAGGGACAAGGTGTCTTACGAGGGCCTGTGACGCTGGTATTTCTTTTGCAAAACGGTCGCAGACACTTCCAATGTCGACCCTGTCAGTCGTCTTTCATTCCGCCGGCCGTCCCATTGCTCCTTCCATCTCCTTCTGGCTGTTGTCTTGCCAAGCTGCCGCAAATCCATTCGAAACAGAGCGCAAGTTTACAGGAAGGCACAGCCGACAAAACCGTAACATGCTCACCATTTCAATTCTCAATCCTCCATCGCCTCCGCATCCAAACGCCAACAGCGATCACGCATCAAGGCCTGGACCGAATCGGTGGGGTGCCAATTGCACGGCACAGGACGTAACCCTCCTTCCTGCCATTTTGCAGATGACAAAACTGTTGCTGACAACGGATGTACCTCTACTTTCGGTTCTGGGCAACGCTGCGAGTTTGCATACCTGTACTTGGTGATGATTGTGTCTCGTGTGTGTCCTATGTTGATGACAATGTTGCTGGAGGAGATCAATCAATCAATCAACAGACGGTCACCTTCAAATGCACGGATGGTATCACAAGTCTCATATTAAAGACCGGGGCTGTGAGGCTCGAAAGAACACAGAGCGGGCCAGTCTCGGAGAATACAAATAAATGGCTTTTCATATCGTCTTGGTTGTCTTGCGGAGTGAAGGGAACGGGTCCCTGGATGCCGAGACAGAATGAGCGAGTTTTCCACCCGTCAGGGACATTTGATGACGTTTCATTCATCTAGTTGCATTCTTGCAGCTGTTGGGACGTGGTGAGATCTATTGTGGTACGACGTACACCCCGATGTCATGTTCCCATTGCGATTCTTGCTGTGCGTCGCCAAGGGGATAGACCTCCACATTGGTAGCCGTACGACATATGGACCTGATGCACATTACGTCGGCCAAGACACTGTGCATGTCTGTTTCGAGACCTTTGGTACTTTGGTTCTCGGCCGGCACAAGCTGGTGCAAGAGAACATAAGAGGCTTTATTGAGAAAGCAGCAAACAATGCAAATAAGATATATAGCAAGACAAATTGATAGAAGCGAAAAGAGGAAGCTTGGTGCAAAAGTATAGAATCACCGCAGAGAAAAATCACAAGTAGGACACCGGCAAACTAAGAGACGAAAACCTGGACAAGGATAAGAACACAACCTGGCATGAATGACAGCCGTGACAGAAAACAGAAAAAAAATGAGATAATTAGACGACGACGAGACGTCTCGTTACCGTGCCCCAGCCATACCTGCCGGATGCTTTTGTAGAAATACATGGCAGTTGAAAACGGAGAAAGGACAGCAACTGGGTGGGAAGCCGTGGTGGATAAGAACAGCGGAACAATTTCGACTAAAGGTGACACCAGCGTGCCGTGACACGCCGCTTATCATTCGGGGCGTTGCCGCTTTGTGCCGTGTGGGTTCTGCCACTCCCCACCGCCCTGGTTGCCGCCACCCTGGTTGCCAATCATGCCGCCCCCGGCACCGCCAGCACCGCCGCCGCCACCAAAGAAGTTGGGTGTAAAGTTCGGATGCATGCCTTGGAAGTCTGGAAAGTCGTTAGTGAGAGTTCGACAAAAGAAAAACAAAGATAAAAATCGAAAAGAATAGAAACACGGGGGTAGGGAGTGAAGAAAACGTACTCGGCATCCCGCCACCGACCATACCCATACCACCCATACCACCCATACCGCCCATGGGATTCATGCCTCCCATACCGCCGGGCATGTTGCCCATGGGGTTCATGCCGCCCATGCTACCCATGGCCGGGCCCATACCGCCCATCATTCCACCCATTGGACCGCCACGGCCGCCGCGCATGCCTCCTGGGCCACCGCGCATGCCACCGCCCATATTGCCACGGAAGTTGCCGTTGAAGCCGCCGCCCCCCATGGGGTTGCCGCCAAAGTTCATTGGCCCGGCATTGTTGTTGTTGTTGAACGAATTCATATTGCCGCCGCTAAAGTTCCGGTTGAACCCCCCCTGATTGTTCATGCCGCCACGGTTGTTGTACATATTGCCGCCGCCACGGCCACGGAAGCTGCCGCCACTGTTATTGTTGTAATTGTTGTAGTTGTTGTTGCCGCCGGACCGGTCCTGGTAGCCTGAGCTGGACACATTTCGATTTTGTAAATTGTGTGCGCCGCCGCGGCCAGGGGTGTCCTTGGGCAGAGTCCGGAAAGGGTTAATGGCTGGTGACGAGAAGATGACACTATGCTTCTTCTGTCCTGCCTGGTACTCGCCGGTCGCTTGTGACTCAATCCGGTGCTTGGTGGCCGTTGCGGCCTGTTGTGACGAAAACTCGACGTAGGCCTGCCTATGGAAGGTGAAAGAAAGGCACGATGTTAGTAAACGGTGTAGATGGAAACAAAGCGCATGTGTGGCCTGACCACAAGCGAGCCAAGACAGTCCTACTCACCCTTTGCTTTTGCCGTTGACCTTGTGTTCGCTGAACGTAATGTCCTTAAGCTCTTCTTCGCACTTTACTGCTGCAATCCAACCGCGAATGTCGTCGTCGGTGATCCACCAGTTGAGCTCTGAAACCATAATGGCCGTCGTGGCACCCGGATCTATCGGACGATCATCTGAGCTTCCTTTCCGCTTCACGCCTTGTGTCGGCCCAGGCGGCGACTGGTTTTCTGTTTTGGAAGAGTCCTGTGCGCGATCGACCTGGTTCTGGTCATCCTGGTTGTGGCTCTGGTCTTCGTAGTCGGGGCCTTGGCCTTGGTTGGTGGTGGCCTGGTTGTGGTCCTGGTCGTCACCAGCAAAGTTGTCTTGCCTGTTGCCGCCATCGTCGCCGTTGGCATCGCCGTAGATGTCAATCTCGAAGTCCTCTTCGGTCGTCATTTTGTCGGTTTGCTGTGGAGGGACGGTGAGTGAAAGCGCCTTGTAGTGTTGTCTGTCGAGCGTTTCAGAAACCCCTCAGTGCCTGAAGGAGGCACGCAGAAAACTAAAAGATAAAGGTCAAGTTTTCAAAGACAGTGCCTGACCTATGCGATTCCGCGTTCAGTTGCTGTGTCCACCGAAACTGTATTGAAACCTAGGTTAGGACCAGAGATACAAGAAATGCTGGCGCACCACCCATCTTCGCAATCTTCGCAACCAGCTGCTGAAGATGCCATTGTGCGGTATCTTGCAAGATCGGGAAAAGAATAATAAATCGACAGGTAGAAAAAAGAGCAAAAGGAAACGGCACGAAACAAGTAAGAAGGAAACCCCAAGATCGAGAGATAAAAGCGAGAAAAGTAAAAGCAAAAATGCGCGACGAAGAAAAACGAGGAACCCGAGACAACAATCCGAGCGAAGGACAGAACAGAGCTATTGGTACGTACACTCCTGGGGTGCTTTCTTTTCTAGACACGAAGAAACTTGGCTTCTCGACAACAAACGGACGATGATAGGGAGTTCCCTTTCAGTGCAAAAGGAAGCCCTATGATACGTGCGGCAGACGAAGCTCTGTGCTTGCAGTCTGGCTCTGTAGGACAGTAGACAGGACGAGCTGGTACAGGGTTATATGTGAGATAAGAAGAGCTGTGCTTCAGCCGAAACAAATAGAGGGATGGAAACAGTTTGATGTGAATGTGCAGAGTAACAAGAGCACGACGGTCTGTCTTTTGTCGGGTTGTAGCAGCAGTGCGCGATTGTTGGGGCGGCCCGGGAGCTTCGTTTGGAGTTCGGTCGACGCTGGGCCGATGGTTCGTGATTGTTCGACGTAGGAGAGGGAAGATAGAAGAGCGTGGCGCCGGGCGGCAGCTCCCGTATTCGTGATAGGGAGATGCGATGGGGTAAGAAATGTGATGAAGGTTCGGATGATAGAATGCTGCGATAGCTTCTGGCACCAGGTAGCTACTCTGTAGGCTATTATCGTGGGAGGCGCGAACACGAGTGCAGAGCAAACTCTGTTTTCAATACGACGAGAATAGTCGATGAGGGCGAAAATCGACAAGGCCGCTGCGATGCCGAGCCGAGATGCTTTGAACGAGGTCGCGCGCAAGGAAAGGAGAGACGAAGTGAAGAGAACGAGAGACACACGAAATCCCGTAGTGGCACGCACGCTCTATTCCTAGCAAAACTGGGGTGGTCAATGAGGACGCAGGAGCTTTCCGCAACACAGTTGGTCAGGGTCAAACCGGACAGGAGGTCTGTCTGGAACAAAGGGGAAGCCCCAGTGTGTGGGTCACCTGCTAAAATGCTAGGGGAGCTTTGGAAGCAGGCAGGCAGACTGCAGGAAGCAGAGAAAGAATACCGTGCTAAATACCGTGCGTATCCTGTAACAAGTGGCGACGTAGCCTTCCCTCGCACTATGCAAGATTTGGGTGGTCAAAACACGTGCAGGGCAAGGGATTGCACCCAATTAGCAGGGTTCGGGCGATCTGGCATGACCTCTCTTGTGCTGGAGCTGGGGAAAGAGAGTCGTCGCGAATACCCATTTTTTTGAACGACTATTGAATCTGCCCCCTTTCTCTTGTCTTCCTTTCCTCCACAATCCATCACCACCGACCATTTCCACTCCTTCTCGACATCAATCGACAGACTTCGTTACAAAGACCATCTCTATTGTTCTCACCCGCTTCTCCAACCAACACATACACAGCCGTCAACATGTCTGAGCAGCTCCAAGAGATTCTTGACATCCCGCGGGAGTTTGTCAAGGATGGCATGCAGTTCCTGAACCGCTGCCAGAAGCGTACGTGAATCGACAGCCGCGCTCCCTTTTTGATGAAGACGGGTCTTGATGACCTGTTTGGGGATGCAACAAGGCAGAACTTTGCTGCAATAGCGGCCGCATTTCTGCTGGGACAGATGCAGACGCATCATCACGCGACATTGACGAAAGTTGGCCGACGATGCTAACAATGTTCTTCTTGTATAGCTGATGCGAAGGAGTTTGCCAAAATCAGCCAGGCTGTTGGTGTCGGCTTCATCGTTATGGGTGCTGTCGGTTACTTTGTGAAGCTGGGTACGTTTCGTCCATTTTGTATTACGTTCTCGATTCGCGTCTACGCCGTGCATGTACTGACTTTTCTCTCTGTCTCGCTGTAGTACACATCCCACTGAACAACATTCTGGTCGGCGGCGCGTAAGCGGAGCGCGCGACGAGAATTGCGGACGGACAAGAAGCGTGGCCCGACCTGCCTTGTCTCTTGCCACGGGACGGACAACAAAACGTGCCTTGGACCTCACTCTTTGACCGCAAGAGTCTAGCGAACACACGGATTGTTGACGAAAATGTGCAAGTCTCGAACGCGCGTCATAACGAAAACGAACCAAAAGAAAGCGAGACATCCATAAACTAGTCGAGAAAGGGAAGAGGCCGTATCCCCCATCTTGCAGACGGGAACGCACTCTTCGCTTTGGTAATAATTTTTACTGTGTACAAAACCTCAGGCGTGGACCGAGAAACAAACTATAAAAAGAGCAGGAAGGCATACCGGAGTTTTGATTAAACAGCGCAACACGTTTTTTTTACTATCACTCGATTTGACTTGATTTTTACGCATGTCGTGTGACTCGTGACTGGCTTTTCTGAGTGGTGAAAGTATGACGGATGGTTTGTATTCTTGTTGGTAAATGTGTTCTAATATATGTACATGAATATGAGAAGCTGAGCAAGATCCGAGAGACTAGCCAACCCCGAAAGCCTGTCTTGGGCGTATCCTATCACTCTAATTGGCCCACCAAGCTGTGTTCCGTACCGACGTCTGCCAGGACGAGATCGGCCGCATCCGATCGTCATACAATCGGTGTTCGCGCCCGCCAGCGTCACCATCCTTGGCAATGTCGCAGGAGTGGACCGAGCACGTGCCGGTCTCCATACTCTCAGCGTCGAACGAAGATGCTAGACAAAATGTTAGGTGGAACGTGGTCAAACCAAACCAAACCAAGAAAAAAAGGAGATGTCATTATGGGGGAAAGGTACGTACCGACAAGGACGGGTATCGTGGGGTGCCAGCTGGCGTCACGCACACACAACGGGCCGTGCGTATAGCGGCGCTGGCGCACGCGTTGGCGGGAGTTGAGAGTCTCCGCGGTGTTGTTGTGGCCACCCGCCTCAGCTTGGCGCTCCTCCTCGGCGGCGACGGCCGACAGCGTCTCGCGCGTGGCCTCGCGCACGTCAATGACGCCCGCCAGAGTGGCGTCCAGGTTGTAGATGTAGACCTTGCCTGAGTGGCTTGCCGAGTAGACGTAGCGCCCGTCGCTGCTACCTGGTGGCGAGAAGTGGCAACGGATGAGCGTACGCTCGACACGATGGCCGCGGAAGGTCACGACAGAGTTGTCGTGTGGGTGCTTGAAGTAGAGGTCGTCGTTGTAGCGCTGGAAGCGGTAATCGTACAAGCTGAACTGTGTCAAAGAGGCCGGGTCCTTGGCATCAAAGTCAGACATGCTCATGGCCATGCGTAGATCCCACAGCCGCATGGTCTGGTCCTTGCCGTTGGACAGAATGTAGCGCCCGTCACCCTTGCTGTCGATGTACGTGATGCCCTCACAATGGCCAACAAAGGCGCCAGCCGCTCGGCTGTCGCCCAGACTGCGCCGGTCCCACACCTTGATGGTGGCGTCGTCGGATCCCGAGTATAGCAGGTGCGGCGACTGCTTGTCGCCAAAGCACACCGCGTTGACGTCGTGTTTATGGCCCTCGAAGCTATGCAGCACCTGGCGCGATTCGATATCGTATACGATGATGGTGCTGGCGTTGGTACCAGCAACCAGTTCGCGGCCATCGCCCGAGAACCGCACGGAGAAGATGGCAAACGAGTCGTAGAAATCGCCAATGGTGTCATCCCGAGGGAGGCCAGCCAGGTCCAAAAGGTACGGCTCACCCTCGTCGTTGGGATCCGTCGGCGCCAGGCACACCTTGGGCATCATGGACGTAAACGCGAGCCACTTGTTGTCAGGGCTCAACGACGCGTCTGTCATGGTCCAGCGGCCCGACGGGTGCACCACGGTTTTGTAGTGCTTCCACTCGTTGACGTTGGAGGTGTCGTACATCCGCACGCGGAAGTCCTTGGTGGCGCTGTAGAAGAAGTTCCCGTCGTCCGAGAACTGGCCCAGGTACACAGGAGCCTCGTACCTCAATACCATGTCGGCGTCGGTCGAAGGCACCATGCTCTGCGCAATCATGTTCTTACCCAGCGTGCGGTCGGCTTGCGTCTGACCAAGTCCGAGCTCACGGTCCAGAAGCCGGAGCGACACGGGCCGCCGTCTGGCCTCGATCTTGGTATGCAGAGAGTGGTTGTCGGAGGCCATATTGTCAAAGATCGTAGTATACACCTTGCGCGGCCGCTCCGTCGAGCCGAACACGCCCGAGTCCATGAGCTTTCGGCCCTCCTCGCTCGGCACCTTGGGGAATCTATTCGGGTCACGCTGCTGCTGTCGTCGCCGCCGGCTGTTGGTAAAGGCGTCGATGTCGAAACCACCACCCCAGTCGGTCACGCTCAAGAGGACGTTGTGCAGCGTCTCTCCTTGTAGCAAGATATTCAGCTGCCGGCGGGTTAAGTAGGGCACTGGGCGACCTGTTACGTTAGTATTAACAGCTTGAGAGGAAGAGTGGGCATAGGTTTGTACCTTCATCGATATCGTCGTTGTCGTCCTCCTCCTCGTCTTCGTCATCTTCGTCCTCTTCCTCTTCCTCTTCACCGTCATCTTCGTCGTCGTTCTCTTCGTCACCATCGCCCACAATCTCCTCATCTTCATCGACAACCTCTTCGATTTCTATATCGTAGTGCATGGGACCGTCCTCGGCATCTATACGGAACAGTTAGAGCTATTCGAACTACGGCTCAATCGGAGCGATCGGATTAAATCGTGCGGCACATACCATGGTATTCGTCGTCGTCGTCATCTTCCTCTTCGTCGTCGTCGTCGAGTAGTCTGTGGCTGGTGTCGTCCCCAAACTCACCATGTACGGCTGTGTACTCGCCGCCAGCGCCGCCTGCACGCAGGCGATATGCCTGTCGCAGAAGATTTAAGACGTCAGTGGGGGCAGCACCATTGCTTTCGCTATCGCCGGCGCCAGCATTGCCGTTGGCGTTGTCGTTGCCCGGGGTCTGCGGAGCTGACATGTCGTTATGTCTTGGGTAGGGTGGAACAAGCTTGGGACGGGCGGTGTATTGCACAATTCTGTTTCACGCTTGCGAAGCCCGCAAAGAAGACACAAAACACACAGCGCCACAAAATGCGCAGCCCAAGAGCTTTGTGAGCAGGTTATTGAGTGTGTGCAAGGCGTTGATCGGAGGTCACGGAACGACGGCAGGAGTGCGAGCGTGGGTTTCGTTTCCTAAATCCGGAATCGACTCCGGACGCAAGCGGAGTATCGAGTGGAGGGAAAGTAAAGAAGTCGTCAACAAACCGTGGGGAAGCAAAAATACAGCGATTTGTATTAAAGGCCAAAAACAGGTGAGAGGAAGAAGAATGGCCTGGTTGAATGAAATGTCTATCTAGGTTGCGCTTTCCTCGCTGCAAAAACGCCTCTTAAACGAACACCTGACTCAGGTGCTCCTCCTTATTTCTAAGCTCATTGAGCTATTACCGGTCGCTCTTGCATGACCAAACTCCGCGAGAACAGTATCGTATCTATGGCGCGTTATGGCCCACCCTTGCTGCAATTGCGGGGAGGCGAAACTGTCATCGCTCGTCTAGCTTGAGGAAAGAGCGGATAGGGTCTTATCTCCGACAGCTTAAAGGCGAGCACACTTTAAGCACGGCAACAGGGCAGTTGTGATGATAGATATGAACAATCATTGTGATATTCTCACTTTCGTTTACCCCAAGGTCCATCATTGGACTTCAACTCTCCATTGCCAAACACACTGATGTTCCAACTTTAATTTCTTGTTTCTACAATCTTAGAACATTTGCGCCCGGATGGGTTATTTCCATAATCTATTTTCGGACGAAACGTCATATTGTGGCGCTGGAAACCTTTGCAGCTCGGCATTAAATCAGGCGAATCGCTGAAACGGAAGTGCCTGGATGTGCAACATACACGTAGTAGGCTATTAGCTATTAATACATTTCTTCCCTTATTTAAGTTGGACTGCATTGCCAATCGACCTTGTTTTGCCCCTGCCTGGTTCATTCTCATCTGATTTTCATCTGGATCTCAAACGGGGTCGCGTCCGCAGTTGGCTCATGTTTGGCTCTCATAGCGAGGAATCTTTAAATACCCCCAAGTGCTTGAACGAGCTACGTCCACAGACATTTCGTTTGGACTCGATACCTGTGATTGGCATGACCGTGGACCCCCAAATACTGTTGGAGCAGCCTCGGCTCCCGAGCAGACACGACGTGCGTGGCATCGCACAAGATGAGCCGTCCATCCGGCCACTTTCCAATACGCCCACCGCAATTGGGCCGGCCTGCATGCATCCTTGTCCTTCCCAGATCGCAGAGAAACTGGGGCAGACAAGCGCACAAAAAGAAGCAGACACGAGACAC